GTAAATTGTTTTTACTATGTTTAGGTATGGACCTTGAATTCCTGATCTTTCCAAGACTTTTATCATGAAAGGATGTTGAATTTTGTCAAATGCTTTCTCAGCATCTAGTGAGACGATCATGTGGTTTTTTTCTTTGAGTTTGTTTATATAGTGGATTACATTGATGGATTTCCGAGTATTGAACCATTCCTGCATTCCTGGGATAAAACCTACTTGATCATGATCGATGATTGTTTTGATGTGGTCTTGGATTCGGTTTGCTAGAATTTTATTGAGTATTTTTGCATCGATGTTCATAAGGGAGATTGGTCTGAAGTTCTCTTTCTTTGTAGGGTCTTTGTGGGGTTTGGTATGAGTGTAATTGTAGCTTCATAGAACAAATTGGGTAGTGTTCCTTCTGTTTCTATTTTGTGGAATAGTTTGAACAGAATTGGTATTAGGTCTTCCTTGAAGGTCTGATAGAATTCAGCACTAAAACCATCTGGTCCTGGGCTTTTTTTAAGTGGGGAGACTTTTAATGACTGCTGCTATTTCCTTAGGGGTTATGGGACTATTTAGGTGGTTTATCTGCTCCTGATTTAACTTTGGTACCTGGTATCTGTCTAGGAAGTTGTCCATTTCTAACAGGTTTTCCAGTTTTGTTGAGTATAGGCCTTTGTAGTAGGATCTGATGATTTTTTTAAATTTCTTCAGTTTCTGTTGTTATATCTCCCTTTTCAGTTCTGATTTTATTAATTTGGATACTGTCTCTGTGCCCTCTGGTTAATCTGGCTAACGGTTTATCTCTCTTGTTGATTTTCTCAAAGAACCAGTTCCTGGTTTTGTTGATATTTTGTATTGTTCTTTCTGTTTCTATTTGGTTGATTTCAGCCCTGAGTTTGATTATTTCCTGCCTTCTACTCCTCTTGGGTGTATTTGCTTCTTTTTGTTCTAGAGGTTTAGTTGTGCAGTCAAGTTGTTAGTGTGTGCTCTTTCCAGTTTCTTTTTGTAGGCACTTAGAGCTATGAGTTTTCCTCTTATCACTGCCTTCATGGAGTCCCACAAGTTTTGGTATGATGTGTCCTCATTTTCATTGAACTCTAAAAAGTCTTTAATTTCTTTCTTAATTTCTTTCTTGACCAAGTCATCATTGAGTAGAGAGTTGTTCAGTTTCCATGTTCACGTGGGTTTTCCATTGGTTTTGTCATTATTAAAGACCAGTCTTAGTCCGTGGTGATCTGATAAGATGCAATGGATTATTTCAATCTTTCTGAATCTGTAGAGGCCTGTTTTGTGACCAATTATATGGTCTATTTTGGAGAAGGTACCATGAGGTGCTGAGAAAAAGGTATATTCTTTTGTTTTAGGATGAAATGTTCTATAGATGTCTGTTAAGTCCATTTGGTTCATAACTTCTGTTAATGTCAAAGTGTCTCAGTTTAGTTTCTGTTCCCATGATCTGTCCATTGCTGAGAGTGGGGTGTTGAAATCCCGCACTATTATTGTGTGAGGTGTAATGTGTGTTTTGAGCTTTAGTAAAGTTTCTTTTATGTATGTAGGTGCCCTTGCATTTGGAGCATAGATGTTCAGAATTGAGAGTTCACCTTGGTAGATTTTTCCTTTGATGAGTATAAAGTGTCCTTTCTTATCTTTTTTGATTAATTTTGGATGGAAGTCAATTTTATTTGATATTAGAATGACTACTCCAGCTTGTTTCTTGGGACCATTGGCTTGGAAAATTGTTTTCCACCCTTTTATTCTGAGGTAATGTCTGTCTTTGTCACTGAAGTGCGTTTCTTGTATGCAGCAAAATTCTGGGTCTTGTTTGTGTATCCAGTCTGATAGTCTGTGTCTTTTTATTGGGGAATTGAGACCATTGATGTTAAGAGATATTAAGGAAAAATGATTGTGGCTTCCTGTTATTTTTGATATTAAAGGTAGAATTATGTTTGTATAGTTATCTTCTTTTGGGGTTGTTGGAAGATTACTTCCTTGCTTTTTCTAGGTTGTAGTTTCCCTCCTTGTGTTGGCATTTTCCATCAATTATCCTTTGAAGTGCTGGGTTTGTGGGAAGATATTGTGCAAATTTGGTTTTGTCATGGAATATCTTGGTTTCACCATCTATAGTGATTGAGATTTTTTGCTGCGTATAGTAATCTGGGCTGGCAATTGTGCTCTCTTAGGGTCTGTATGATGTCAGTCCAGGCTCTTCTGGCTTTTATAGTCTCTGGTGAGAAGTCTGGTGTAATTCTTATAGGTCTGCCTTTATATGTTACTTGACATTTTTCCCTTACTGCTTTTAGTATTTTTTCTTTGTTTTGTTCATCTGATGTCTTGATTATTATGTGATGGGAGGTATTTCTTTTCTGGTCTAGTCTATTTGGTGTTCTGTAGGCTTCTTGTATGTTTATGGGCATCTTGTTCTTTAGGTTAGGGAAGTTTTCCTCAATAATTTTGTTGAAGATATTTACTGGCTCTTTAAGTTGGGAATCTTCATTCTCATCTATACCTATTATCCTTAGGTTTGGTCTTCTTATTGTGTCCTGGATTTGTGGATGTTTTGAGTTAGGAGTTTTTTTCATTTTGCATTTTCTTTGACAACTGTTTCAATATTTTCCACCGTATCTTCTGCATTTGAGATTCTCTCTTCTATCTCTTGCATTCGGTTGGTGATGCTTGTGTCTATGACTCCTGATCGCTTTCTTAGGTTTTCTATCTCCATGGTTGTCTCCCTCTGAGCTTTCTTTATTGTTTCTATTTCCATTTTCAGATCCTGAATGTTTTTGTTTAATTCCTTCTTTGTCTTTTCTTGCATTTCTTTAAGGGATTTCTGTGATTCCTTTTTAAGGGCTTCTACCTGTTTACTTGTACTCTCCTGTATTTCTTTAAGGGAGTTACTTAATTCCTTCTTATAATCCTCTATCATCATCATGAGAAGTGATTTTAATTCTGAATCCTGCTTTTCCGGTGTAATGGGGTGTCCAGGGCTTGCTATATTGGGAGAACTGGGTACTGATGATGCCAAGAAATTTTGGTTTCTGTTGCTTATGTTCTTGCACTTGCCTTTCACCATCTGGTTAACTCTAGTGTTACCTCCCCTCACTGTGTAAGACTGGAGTTTGTATTTCCAGTTCTTGCTTATTGCAGAACTCCTCATAGTCCAGATGTCTCTGTGGTCTTATGATCCTAATCTTCTGGGTGGAAGAACTCCTGGGACTCAGGCCACCTCTTGGATCTGGAAATCCTTCTGCTCTGGGTGCAGTGGTTCCTCTAAGATTGCTCAGGATGGCTCCCAAGTGCAAACCACCTTGGTGTCTGCTGCTCTGAATGCAGTGGCTCCTTGGCTGCTCTGAGTGCAGTGGCTCCTCTAGGATGGCTCAGGATTCAGTATCTCCACAGGAGCAGACCAACTCTGTGTTGCCTGCTCTGAGTGCAGTGGCTCCTCTAAGATGGCTCAAGATTCAGTGTCTCCACAGGAGCAGACCAACTCTGTGTCTGCCCCAGCCCAAAGGACCAGGCAGGGGCTGAAGGGAAGTGGAATTCCGGAAGGGCGGGGTTTGGGTAGCTGGTGTGTCCAGAATGTCTCTGGCTCCTAGCTGTATCTCTAGGGCTTAGGGAGTGAGATGGAGTTCTTACCGGCTGCTCTGAGTGCAGTGGCTCCCCTAGGATGGCTCAGGATTCAGTATCTCCACAGGAGCAGACCAACTCTGTGTCTGCCTCAGCCCAAAGGACCAGGAAGGAGCTGAAGGGAAGTGGAATTCCGGAGGGGCAGGGTTTGGGTAGCTGGTGTGTCCTGACTGTCCCTGGCTCCCAGATGTATCTCTGGGGCTTAGGGAGTGAGATTTTGATTATTGCACTGGAGTTCCCTCCTTAACAGTCATTGGTGGCTTCTGACAATGGATGACATTCTCTAGGGCACCCAACCTACACATATCTGCCCTAAAAAATGAGAGATTTCCATCAGGATCCTGGCAACACTAATCCAAACTCTAGCATAGAACTACATCAAAAGATCAGGATGATCTGAAAGAAACAACCTCAATGTGTGAAAACAGAAAGCAAAATAAACTACAAAGTAGTTAAGGAAGGAAACACAGTTAAGAATAAGAGAAAGCAAAAAATACACAGCAGAAAGCATAGAAACCACAAGTAAAGCAATGACCCAGTTCTTGTAAACTATGAACAAACTAGAGAAATATACATTTAGGTGTATGTAGAGAAAAATGAAAAACAATCTGAAAGGAACTATAAAACAAAAAGGGAGCCATTATTAATTATACCATGAAAAGAAAAAGAAGATTGGCCTGAGCCTTATGATCAACTTCATACCAGCAAATGCAGGACATATATATAAACACATACACATGCACACACACACACACACACACACACACACACACACACTAAATCTACAAAACTCAACTATTCTTGATGAACATACTTGGAAAAATTCTCATCAAAATCTCTGCTAACAAAAATGCAACAGCACATTAGGAAGATTATTTTATGTTGTCAACAGTGTTGCAAGAATGAGTCTGTATATGTAGATCAATACACGTGATATACTACAACAGCACATTGAAGAAAAAAATCCTTAATCTTCTTACTAGATGAAGAAGGGCAGCATATACAGCATAATAATACTTTATGAGCTGACAAAATGACTCAGTGAAGAAAGATGCTTGCCACCAAGCCCAATGACCTGAATTTTCATCCCCATGATCCACATGGTGAGAGGAAAGAACTAACTCCCACTGATTGTTCTCTGACTTTCTCATGCTTACAGTGACACATACATGTCCCCACATATGCATACACAAAATATAAAGAATGTAATAATAATTTATATTAACAATTCTTTAGTATAAAAACATGGAATGAATTGTGCATTCAAAATGTACATAATTATAAAAAGTTTGCTTATAATAAGTCAAGAACAAATATTCTGAAGGAGAAATAACTGAAAGCTGTCCAGTTACATCCTGTAACTAATGGTGTACACATTCTGTGTTTATTTACAGTATGAGTGTCATACCCACAGTACCCAAACACAGAAAAGTCAGAAGCAGCCATACTGGAAAGATGACAGAATATGGTCGGTGTCTGAAGATGACATATTGGTTTATGTAGACATAAAGATTCTTCCCAAAACAGTTACAATTTATAAATCAGCTGAGCAGGGCTTTCAGTTACAAACCACCTCATAAAGTAGCAGTGTTAGTAAATGCTAACAACAAGCTATCTGATTTACAGATTAGGGTATTGATTCTAATTTTTAAAACCATAAAAATAACAAAATATCAAGATTAAATTGAGTTGAAGATTAAAGATCTTAAAAAATAAAGTTGCTAGATGATGGTGGCATATGCCTTTAATCCCAGCATTTGGGAGACAGAGGCAGATGGATTTCTGTGAGTATCAAAATAGCCAGGGCTACACAGAGAAACTATGTCTTAAAAACCAAACCAATCAACCATCCATCAGACTGTAGGGAAATATTATAGGCTATAGAATGAGGGGTAGCTAGGCAGACAGGAAGAGATACAGAAAGTGAAGAGTAACTGCTCATGAAACTTTTGTTTGTTTTTTTGGCACAGAATATTTACAAATGTTCTGTTTACATGCAAATGGGTTGTTTGTGAAAAAATGTTAATTTAAGAAAAACAGTACCTACATGCCCATGCCCGTGACATCCATGACCCCACAACCTGTCTTCTAGGAAGACTGCCCTTACTTAGAACACAGGTGAGACCCCCTTCTCAATACCCATGCCAACTGGAACCCTCACAGAGCCCAGAAGACCTAAAATCTATCCCATTTTGCCTCTGGCCCATCCCCCTCCTGGTCTGAACCGCCACCTGAACTCACTGAAGATATGAATACCAACCTCCGGACTCAGGGCCTGCCTGTCTCCCAGGAGGTCTGCCCCGAGCAAAGACACAGGTGAGACCCTGGCCCCAATTCTCACACTATCTGGGACCTCCACAGAGCCAAGTAGACTTGGGATCTACCAAGCTCTGCCTGTTCCCTATCCCCCTTCCAGTCTGTACCTCCACCAGAATCCTTAGCAGATCAGAGTGCCTGCTTCCAGATCCCAGGGACTGCTCATCTCAAACAGTAGGCCTTCCCTGACCAGGGACACAGGTGAGACGCCCTACCCTAGTTCTCACACCACCTGAGACCCTTACAGAGCCTAGCAGTCATGGGATCTATCCCTCTTTACCCAAGCCCTATCCCCTTCTTGTCTGAACCCATGGCAGAATACCTTGCCTTCCCCAGGAATCCCAGGACCTGCCTGTTCCCAGGAGGTCTGTCTTGACTAGGGACACAGATGAGACCCTTGGTGCAAAACCCAGAACAGCTGAGAACCTCACAGAGCTAAGTAGATGTGGGATCTATCCGGCTCTGCCTGAGCCCCATTATCCTTCCAGTCTACCTCCACCTGAACCATGACAAGGGATCCCAAAGAATTCCTCTCTCCCAAGATATCTGCCCTAACCAGTGACACAGGGACACAGGGACACAGGAGGCCTTCCAACAAGAGACAACACTGCCTGCTTCCAAGGGGCCCTGAGACATCCAGACCAGTTAACACCAGAGATAACCAGACGGTAAAAGGAAAGCACAAGAACATAAGCAACAGGAGCCAATGTAAGTTGGTACCATTAGAACCCACTTCTACTATAGCAAGCCCTAGATACCCTTACACATCTGGAGATCAAGATTTTTCCCTAAAATCCTATTTCATGAAAATGATAGAGGCCTTTAAGAAGGGTATAAATAACTCTCTTAAAGAAATACTGCAAAATACAGGCAGACAGCTAGAAGATCTTAAAGAGGAAACAAATGAATCTCTTAAAGAAATAGAACCAAAGAGATGAAAAAATCAAACAAAATGTTTCAAGACCTTTAAAATGGAACTACAAATAATAAAGAAATCACAAATGGAAATGAACAACCTAGAAAAGAGAATAGGAGCTACAGATGCAAACATCACCAACAGAATACAAGAGATAGAAGAGTGAATCTCAGGCTTAGAAGATACCATAGAAGATATTGACACATTAGTAAAAAAAAAACAAACAAAAAAAACGAAGTTTAAAAAGATCCTTACCCAAAGAATCCAGGAAATTCAGGACACAATGAAAAGACCAAATTTAAGAATAATAGTTACACAAGAAGATGAAGATTCCCAGTTCAAAGGGCCAGAAAAAATCTTCAACAAAGTCATACAAGAAAACTTCCCTAACCCAAAGAAAGAGATGGCCATAAACATACAAGAAGCCTACAGAACACCAAGTAGATTGGACCAGAAAATAAATTCATCCTGCCACATAATAGTCAAAACACTAAATATACAGAACAAAGAAATGATATTAAATGCTGTAAGAGAAATAGGCCAAATAATATATAAAAGCAAATCTATCAGAATTATACCAGACTTTTCAAGAGAGATGCTAATAGCTAGAAAATACAGATCCTAAGAGATCACAGATGACAGCCCAGGCTACTATACCCAGCAAAACTAACAATGACCACAGATGGAGATACCAAGATATTCTATGACAAAACCAGATTTAAACAATATATTTCTATTAATCCAGCCCTACAGAGAATATTAGAAGGAAAACTCCAATACAAGGAGGGTGACTACACCCAAGGAAACACAAGAAATGAATTATCTAACAACAAATCACAAAGAAGAAAATCACACACATAATACTACCTCCAACAGCAAAAATAACAGGAACTAACAATCATTGGTGTTTAATACCTCTCAACATCAATGGACTTAATTCCCTCAATAAAAAGGCACAAACTCACAGACTGGATATGCAAACAAGATCCATTATTTTGCTGCATTCAAGAAACACAACTCAGTGACAAAGACAGATACTACCTCAGAGTAAAAGAGTGGAAAGACGTGTTCCAAGCAAATGGTTCAAATAAACAAGCTGGAGTAGTCATTCTAATATGCAATAAAATAGACTTTCAACCAAGAGTTATCAAAAAATATAGGGAAGGGTGCTTCATACTCAGCAAATGAAAAATCCAAGATGAAATCTCAGATCTTAACCTCTATGACCCAAATGCAAGGGCACAGATATTCATAAAAGAAACTTTACTAAAGCTCAAAACACACATTGAACCTCACACAATAATAGTGGGAGACTTCAACACCCCATTCTCATCAATGGACATATCATTGAAACAGAATGCCAATGGCTTATGTACTTGTGATTGCTATATCATTTCTATTTCTAGTTTTAGGTCTTGAACAGTTGTGTTCAATACCTTCACCTGTTTGACTGGATTTTCTTACATTTAAGGGATTTATTTTTTCCTCTTTAAGGGTTTCTAGCTGTTTTCCTGTATTTTTGTAAAGAAGTTATTTATATCCTCCTTAAAGGCTTCTATCATCTTCATGAGATGGGAATTTCGATCAGAATCTTGACCTTCAGATATGTTAGGGTATCCAGGGGTTGCTGTTGTAGGAGAACTTGGTTTGGATGTTTCCATATTACACTGACTTTTGTTGCTTATGTTCTTGTCCTTGTCTTTTGCTATCTGGTTATCTCTGGTATTAACTGGCTTGGGTGCCTTAGATTGGAACAGGCCTCCTTGAAGGTAGTTAGAACTGTGGACATGGGTCAGGGGAGACCTTCTGGGAGGCAGACAGTGCTGCCTCTTGTTAGAGCAGACCTCCTATGTTCTTTGTTAAAGCAGTCTTCTTGTGTCCCTGGTTAGGTCAGAACTCCTAGGTAATAGTTAGGCTGTTGTGTTGGGGAGGGGGCAGGCACTCCCATCTTCCAAGGGTGAAGGTAGAAGAGTAGACCTGAATGGACTTAAATTTTTATGAGCCACTGCAAGGGCTAACAGTCTTGGGGATATAGTAAGACTATTGCCTGACATCTTTGCTAGGTTAATTTATTTATTTGTGCTGAGGTAGGCATTTTATCACAGAAAGTGATATCTATCCCTTAGCCAACTTTTTTTTTAACAAAGTTTTGGGATGTTTTTATCTTGAAAATGTTCACAACACTGAGAAAGGCTTCTCTCAAGATGTCACCTAATTGTTCTATGGCATTTCTACTCTTGTGTCAATATCTGATGTCTTCCAGAGGCTTTGGAGCAGGATAGCCATTACTGTTATCCAACACTTTATTTCCAGACTCCAGCTCTCTAGACAGAGCCTGTGACTGAATCATCTTTGCAATGTAGTTTTAGAGCAGGTGAGACCTAAAAACCTGTCCTACACGTGTGAAGGAAGCTAGACACCTGCAGTTTCTGAACTGCAAGTTATTTCTGAAAAGAGAAAAGTTAAGACTAGAAGCATGACTGCACTGAGCTTTGTTTCCCACATTGTCTCATTAAACACTGTTTCACAAGAAAGCCTTTTTATGCCCCCCCCCCAGTTACTATTAATCAGTCTCCAGAGAATGACCACCACCAAGTGTCCAGATAAAAAAGGAGTCACCTGATGGTTGCTGATGACTGCAGGCAAAAGACCCCAGAGCCCTACCAGAAACTTTTTGTTCTAATAAACCTTACAAATGTGGTAAAACTCTTAGATTAGAATATTCTGAGTTCTGCAAAGTAGCAGATTATAAAATTAACACATAATATTCAGAGGCAGTCCTGTAACAACAATGTAGTGAGAAATAAATTAGAGAAACAATTTCACACACAACATATAGTCAAAATAATACTTGCAAAGATACCACAGTAAAATTAATCAGGAACAAAGTCTATAATGAATTTCTGTACAGTTAAAATACCCATTTTGAAGGTGTAGATCTTTAAACTGGATTTTATACTTTCTCTATTAGATATGATTTCAAGCAGCTGTCCACCACCAAACATGAACAACCCCAGCAGAGTTAAAACTAGAAAACTAATCAGTTTCCTATTTATTTTCATGAGTCAAATATCCTTTACCTACATTCAGTTGTTCCTCATCCCCTAATACTGATCTTTTCAATGCTCAATGTCTCTCTTGTTCTTCACTTTCAAGATAAAACACCTAGGAATATTTAAGAAAGTTATATTTTAATGAATCATTTCAGTAATTGTAATCCATTTCTAATTTTAAGAGCTAGTGTTGAACAATACATAATTCACCCATTAAAGTAACAATACAGTGATTTAAAAAGAAAAAAGAGGCAGATGGAGGGAGGGAACTGGGTGGGAGAGGGGATAGGAATGG